CTTAGACCACTCGGCCAAACCGCCTTATTGATGTTTTGATAGAGCCAGATTAGACATCATAAAGCAAAAGCTTTAAACCCATAAACTACCCAGGTATATTCTGATAATTTGTTTGGCCCTACGTCATGATACCACCCACCACCACAGTGATGTGAAATAATTTCATTCCTCACACTCCCCAAGCAGCGAAGCATAGCGATTTCCGAGCCCACAGAACCCTTCACACTGCCCACCAACCTCCTTTCCCTTATGTAGCAACTCCTCCATGCCCCACGCAACACGTTCCGCACCCACCCTAGCGCCCTCAAGATTTGGCGCCCCGGGTCCAAGCCGGAGAGATGCCATGCGGCCCGTCATGAACAACGGTACGTCATCCCGCCACGACAGATCATTTGTTAGACACGGGAGACCCGATTTGACCTCGATCGGGTATTGGTCGTTCATTTCGCGGAGCAGCGGCATCTCGCGCACATCCGCCCGTACTCCGGTTGCGAAATAGATGTAATCTATTTCGGGAAGCTCCGGGATTGGTGGGTCGGTTGTTAGGGTCCAGGTTCGGGTGTCTGGATTGAAGTCATGGGTTTTAATTTCCGTGCAAGGGTGGATGGAGGCACGATTTTGAGCTGCGTGCTGCTTTACGATCTTTGTATAGCGTGGTGTAATGCTGCCACCATTGCGGGCAGTTTTGATCATCTCAAGGCGCTCTGGGATACGTTAGTGACGGCATTTAGATGGGATTATGGCTTTTGTTATAATACCTTCGTCTGTGTCGGCGGACCAGAAGGCTGCCTTCTCCCAGTTCTTGTACTTGCCCATCCAGGGAAGACTGATATCAAAGTGTTTGACTGTTTTGTGAATGAGAATAAGACATTGTCCAAAAATCACTCCCCTGAGGACGTTATACATACCCTTCAAGCCAGACCGCATCAAAAACCACACTTTCGTCACGCCCTTGCGAACCGCCATATCGACAATCTGTGCTGACGATAGCCCACCTCCAACAACGACAACATTGGTTACTTGCCGCCTCTGGATCTTGTTCTGTACATTGAGACTGGGGAATGATTTGATCTCTGTGCTGTGACAACATGCTGCAGCACCCTCTTGTTCCGTTGAGGGTTTCCACGGATAAATCTTCGACACGCCTGCTCCGCCAGGACCGATGGCCAGTACAACAGACCGACTATAAAACTTCTCTCCTGTGGATGTGGTGACAGTGAACACCTTCGACTCCGAGGTATCAGAGAGATAATTATATGAGAGATCCGTGGCCTCGCGCTGCAAGATCTTACCAGGCTCATCCAGACCATACCGCTGGATGACCGACGAACAATAATCTGAGAAGAGGTCCGTGGAAGGAGAGAAGTAATCTTTCCGATCTCGTTCGTCAATCTCACCTCCGATTGTTCTATTTACGAAGATGTAGTTGTTAGAGCTCTGTTCCAACCACATACGCGCGGGACACCACTTACTGAGTTTTCCCACCCTGTCTCCTCTTCTTCTTCTTATGCTTGCTCATCTCCTTTCCAACACACCCTGGAATCTCCCAGAGATCCGCATCCCGCCCACTCTCCTGGGTATACGCCAGCATACCATCCCGATCCCCGGGATCAACATGGAAAAACATCGGGCTGCGGAGCTGTTTAATTTCCAGGGTGCGGAACGCGTTGTTCCACCGCTGCATCCATTTATCACCAGAGCCATCGAGTACCAGGGTTGAGATAGATGATGTTGACGATGTTGACGATGCGGACGACAGCGACGGCACAGAAGATGCAGAGTCAGTTGAGGTGCGCCGTTGCCGGTCTTCTTCGCAAGGACATCCGCGTTCACTGTCCCATTTTGCGGCTCGCACGCCTTTGATCTTGCCGTGTCGCCCTTGTACCAGACTCATTTTTCCGCTGTGCTTCTTGATCCAGTGGTAGCGCTGATGTTCTTCATCTGTGAAGACTGCTGATGGTGTATCTTCACTTAGGCGTGCGGCGACGGCGAGGCCACATGGTCCTGCACCGATTATTATTACGTCTCGGATCTCATGGTCTTCTGGTAAATCCTGAGATGGGGACATTTTGTAGGGTTGGAGTAAGGGTGTGTGGTAGAGGTGTAATCGTTATAGTAGTCCTTCAAGGCTGAATGGAGAAGTAAATTTGCAAGAACGTACGATCATAGGGGAGAACCTTTTCTTTTGTAATCTACTGGCGTGACTGTGTTTCTACAATGTCCTCATAAGTTGACTATCGAGGTACTCGTCCCCAAGGTCCCTGAGGCATGACAGCATATAGGGACAGCTCATGCTCCACAATTAATATCCCGGATTTGATGGGGTATTGAAGTCAATCTCTGAGTACCTTAGGGATGTCTTCAATCATTTTGGGTTTGATATTTGAGCCTTTCCAACGTAATGTAGATGTTGGATGATACAAACAGAGGCTGATTATAGTACCTCTGACACTTTCTTGCTTTCCAAATGTTAGACCTATCCAAGAAGTTGGACTATCCCTGGGCATTACACAAGTTAGATGGTCTTTATACCGGGATATTTCATAAATCAAAAGTAGAAGGATCGAAAGAAGACGTGTGAGTAGATATACATCCATCATCCATGGATGACAGCCCATTTGATAGTATACTCCTATAGAAACCACAATAACACAATAAAGAAGAAGAGAAGAAAAGAAATTAAATTACTATGAAGGAGAGTATGTGCAAGGGGGAATAACAAATCACCAAAAGCCACCGAAAAGAAAAAGAAAAGAGAAAAAGAAAAGAAAAGCAACAAGAGAAACAAAACGAAAGATACTCAAAACTCCAAACCCCATCAAAACCAAACTACCTCCAAACCTGCGCCTACAGAAAACACTCATTTATGCCATTTCTTCGTCTTCGTCTCCGCTTTCGCCTTAGACGCACCTCCCTCCCTCCGATGCCAAGGATCCAACGGCCAAACCCACCCCCTCACCCTCTTAGCATCCCTTTTCTCCCCAATCTGCGGCTCAGGAATCCACTTATCCTTCGCCTCCGCCAGAATCCTCTGACGAGTCATCGCACCAGGTCCGCCAACGTTGAGGTGAGCAGAAGGCTGATGCGGAAGCGGCACCGATTTTGAAAGCATTAACAAGAAATACAACCCCAACCCCGCCGTCATAGCCGGCAATGCGCCCTCAGCCGGCTCCGGGTCCGAGGAGTCTTGACGCGAAGGGAGTGACGAGCTTGACGACGACGAGAAAGAGCGTGCGCTGACGGGCGTCGCAAGTGGCGCGTCGCGCGGGTGTGCCCCCCTTGCAGCGGCTGTCTTGAGCGGGATTGACGCTGCGATCTCCAGGTACCCAAAATAGGGGACATCATCGCCTGTGTCGCAGCCGGCTCGCACGCAGACGAGCTCGATCTCGGTGATTATGAAGCCGTAGCGGCAGGAGTGTTCGCGCATGCAGCGCTGGAGGTGTGCGAGTCCGTTGAGGTACTCTACGCGTCTGTGGGGGGCTTCGTTGCGCATGCCGGTGTTCCAGCGGTCAAAGCTTTTCACGATGCCGACTAGTCGGCCGCGCGGGAGACCCGCACTTGTTTGCTCGGTGTCTGAGAGGTAGTTTGCTAGGAAGTGTGGGTGGCCGTGGTTTTTGTGGCCTGTGTTACGGACGTCCGGGGCCGCGTAGAGTTGGAGGTGGTCTTTGCCTTGGGAGACGGCCAAGGCCGCGTTTATACGTGGTGCATAGAGATCGCGGATTAAACTCACTAGGTCATGCTCGGATTCTGGCGCTAGGTTTGCCGGAGGTACGGCCACGCGCGGTGTGAGCTCTGCTGGGATCTCCGTCTTCAGGAGCTGGATTAGTCGGCTGTCCAGGGAGTCGAATGTTGCCAGTGAGAAGGAGCTCCAGCTGCGCAGGTTACGGATGTCCCACCAGAAGTAATCGTGTAGGCCGCGAGTTGGAACTACGCTCACGTTGCGGACTAGGCTGATTGGTTGGATTGGGAGTGTCAGATATGACAGTAGAGTTGTGGACCGTGGGGCTAGATCTTCATGGGGACTAAGTAAGCCTGGTGAATGCTGGGCAGCCGATGCCTGGCGGTAGTTGTATCGAGGTGTCGGCACTGTCAATGGAGTTTGTGTGCTTGCAGAAAGATGCTGACCTCCCAGTCGTTGAGAGTATGATGGGTAGGACATGATGCTTGGAGTGATTGGGGTGACTGGGGTCGTCGGGGTGGTCTGGGCGTGCATTTGAGGCACATATTTTGGCAGCTCCCTGTAGGTAGGATACCCAAATCGAGTCAAAGTGGCTGCATCAATAACAGATGCCGACACTGAGCGTGAGTGGCCCCCGCCTGTCTTGCGCTTGTACGAAGGGGTGATGGTCACGGGCGATGACAAGGCAGAGAAGCTGCCTGGTGCAGTCATTGGCGCCGGCGAGATGGGAGAAGCCAATGTCAAGTGGTCCGCAAGATCGCGTGTGCGACGGCTGATTGATGGCCGCACCGGTGGGTAAGCGATAAATCCGGGAGGTGGGTTCCGTGTGTTGGACTGAACCCGACGATGACGAAGAGGGCCGCCAGCAGACACAGGCTCAATCACGACGTCTTGGGGTCGGATCTTAGGCAATAGCTTTGGGCCATGATGATGCCTGGTTGGCGACGTGGTAGGGCTGGTATTTCCAGTCATAGTCGACCAGGGAGATGACTCGCTTGAATAGACGGAAGAGTTGGAGGCATGGCTACTATGTCCAGAGCCGATGTATTCCTCAAGAGAAAGACGCGGCGGCGTCGTTGGCCGAAAGCGAGCGGAATCGACAGTAGACATGATAGTGAAGTTGTTGACTAGGTGTCACACCAATAACGATCTATCATAAGAGTAACAAACGAATCAAGGAACTGATGTCTTGTTGACCGAGTCGTTCAGAAAGACATGATCCAAAGGGGAGGGTGTTTGGATATTAAATGGACATTGATAGAGTCTCAAACAGCCAAGCATGTTGCATATAAAAAGATTGACTTGACGAACCCTAGCCGATCTAGAAAAGATGAAACATGGAGAAGAGCCCCATTGTAACGCCTACGGAGCTTGAGAATCTTTTTTTGGAATCCTGGTCTCCGATCAGAGGCACATCCACTCGATGAAACGCGAAACTGCCGACATTGTGCCTGAAGACAGGCATGTTGAACAACAAGGCCCTTGAAACTGCCCCTCCTCGGGGTTCTAGTCCGGCATAGTGCGGTTTCATCGGACTGTCGCGCGTTAAGATGCTACTATATTTTGCATCCTCTTCAATATCATTCTTCAGATTCCCTAAAACGGTTAGCCTGCTGCAAGATTCTCGACATGTTCTAAAAACGGCAACAATTAGGCCACATTTCCAGGTAATTAGCGGACTTGTTGGTGACTGTTCCTGCTTCAGGACTCGCGGGGTCAGCGGTTAAGGGTTCCAAGAAAGCAGAAGGTCCAAAAATAGCCATCGGACTCATGAAATGTGTGGTTCTAGGGTCCAAACGGGGTAAAAAAGACTCTTTGAAGGGAGGGTAGATGCTCTAGATGCGCCAGTGGCCGAATGTGATATCGAAGCCGGCGGCTACATGTATGGGATGAGTTTGAAGTACGCGCCGAGCACCGGCGTTATATCTAGTGATTGGATGATTTGATCTTGAAACTGAGAAATGTCCCATAATTAGCAACAATTAATGCAGTGGGAGTTCATGCAAGAGATATCTACGGAGTACGGAGTATCTGGAAAGAGGTTGAGGACAAGTCGGGGTGATCAACACATAACCGCGCATTGACCCCTGTGGGGTGTTTCGCTGTACATTGACAGTTTTGTACTATTTGTAGGTTAATATCAACTTTTTAGGTACAGAATTATTTTGGGAGTTATTTAGGAGTGATTTGGGGTGATTTGGGGTGATTTACAGTTATTTGGGGTGATTTGGAAATCTCATTAATTGTCTTTTAATTATTTCATGACATTCATTTCATCGGGGTCGAAATGATTTAAAAACACCCAACCGAAAGAGTAAAAAAAAAAAAAGTGGAAAAACGGATAAAAAAAGAAAGGTCTCAAACAAGCCTTCCTATGGTCTATGCAGCTTGCAAAAACACTCAAAACGCTCGGGGGAATCTCTCTGAACCGTCTAAACAACACATCGAACGGTAAAGGCAATCGCAGAACATCAAAGAAACTTTAAGCCTTGATCTCGTACTTGCGGCGGAACATGTCATCCACCTCAGTCAGGTAGTAGACACCGGATCCAATAGTCTCAGTGTTACCAGTGGGCTTGAAGTCCTTCTTCAGGTGGGCATGCTCACGGAGCTTGCACATGGCATCGTATGCAGCAGGCTCGAGGATAGTGCGGGCATTGAGGCGGTTCTGGAGGTCAAGCTTCTCAACCATGCTGGACACATCACCGACAATCTTGGCGCTGAACATGGAGCTGGCAAGACCGGAGCCGTAGCTGAAGAGACCGATGCGCTTGGACTCCTTGGGGTCGAAAGCGACGTTGCTGAGCAGACTGGCCAAACCGCCATAAACGGTGGCAGTGTACATGTTACCACACTGGGTGGCAACCTGGAGACCGGGGTTGACACGCTCGGCGAAACGCTTCTTGGTCAGACCCATGAAGGTCTTCTCAACAGCCTTGTCGGTAAGAGACTTCTCGTAGTCCAAATCGCGCAGCTCGGGGGCAACTTCGGCGAAAGCGGGGTGCGAGGGGTTGGCCAGGTAGTCGTTGTAAAGCATACGAGCATAAGACTTCTGGACGAGCTTGCAGGTAGGGGCGTGGAACAGAATGTAGTCGAAGCGGTCCAGGGGAGACAGGGACTCGTCGGTGGCACCGTTGGCACCGTTAGCACCGTTGGTCTGGGCCTTCAGGGTCTTCTCACGGGCGTCGTAGGCCTTGTAGCAGGCATCGACAGCCTCGGTGTAGCATCGAAGGGAGTAGTGACCATCAACAACGGGGTACTCGCTGGTGAGGTCGGGCTTGTAGAAATCGTAGGCGTGGGTGAGGTAGGAGGCACGGAGACCGGGCTCGAAGACGATAGGCGCATCGGGGCCAATGACCATGGCAACGCAGCCAGCACCACCAGTGGGGCGAGCAGCACCAGCGGCGTACAGAGCAATATCACCGCAGACCACAACGGCATCACGGCCATCCCAGGCGGAGGACTCGAGCCAGTTAATGCTGTTGAAGACGGCGTTGGTGCCACCGTAGCAAGCATTGACGTTGTCGACACCTTCAATGTTGGTGTTTCCGTGAGGAGCGAAAAGTTGCATGAGAACGGACTTCACGGACTTGGACTTGTCCAAAAGGGTCTCAGTGCCAACCTCGAGTCTTCCGACGGACTTGGGGTCGATGTTGTATTTGTTCATGAGGGAGGAGAGGACGGTGAGGGTCATGGAGTAGATGTCTGCCGAGAAAGATTAGCTGATTGGTCTTGATCTCTATTGGAATATACCGGTTGTACATACCCTCACGGTCATCACAGAAGCTCATCTTGGTCTGTCCAAGACCAATGGTGTACTTTCCGGCGGAGACACCATCGTACTTCTCGAGCTCAACCTGGTCGACACACTGCAATTGACATATCAGTATAGATCACCGGTAATGATATACACACGGAACACTTACCTGAGTGGGGAAGTAGACCTCAATGGCCTTGATGCCGATGTTTTGGGGACGAGCAGCCATGGTGGGGGGTATGGAGGGGCAACGTTTTATTTTTTTAGAAGACGAAGTGAGTGAAGGAAGAGGATAAAGAAGAAAGAGATGAAGGTGAAGGTTAAGATTAAGAAAAGAGAGGAAGAAGCTCGAAGAGAAGGCAATTGATATAAGAATGAAAAGGAGTCTGTGTACTCGGTTCTACCGTGTACGATCTGTCACCACTTATTTTTTTTTCTTTTTTCTTTTTTTTTCTTTTTTAATTTCAAGTGGGGAGATCTGCCCTTTTTTTGTTACTTTTGTTACAGTTCCTTTGGGCCGGATAATTGCCTAGGGGATATATTTAAGAAGTACGGAGTACATGGTGTACTGTAGAGGGGATATTGTGTGAAGCTATAGCCATGAAGTGTGTGCACTCACCGCTAACTACCTAACTAACCACTTCACCACTTACCACTTTAACAAATAATAAATAGCAAATAGCAAATAGCAAATAGTCACATCTACATCTACATACATGTTTACCGAAGTAAATGTGTTATACTCTGCTACGTGGCTTTTCGTAATAAAAAATAAAAAAACCTCAACATCTAAGCTACGGTGTAGAACTGAGTCTGCCATCTTATCGATCTCTTGTCTCCACTTGGTTCTCTTCCCAGGTTCAGTCCCCTTTGAGATCTTTTAATATCTTTAATATATGTAATATATACTACTCTGTATCTTTCCAAGGTTTCTTTTCATCGGATCATTTAGTGGAGCAATGGAGTAATTTTGGGCTACGTTAGGAGTGGCATCACTCCGGAAGTCTAGGATATTTAGCCTGAAACTTGCTTCTCTATAATGTTCCAATGTTTCAATATTCCAAGGTGATTCGACTGCCTCAAGGTTTCCCAAATATTCCCATATCCCAGACTTCCAGAGTTCTGATACTATTCATGGATCTATGTCTTTGAGGTGGACATGGACATGGACGGGGTATGTAGTATAATGGAGAACATCTGCACGACACTGCATTTCCGAGGGTCTGATATTTATATAAAGAAAAAGTAAGGGCTCCCAAATCTATCGCGACTGATAAGAATATTCTCATCCTAATATACTGATATTGGGACTTTTTAGAATAGCACGAAAGAATGCCAATGCCTGTATATCTAATGCCATGATGCGTAAGGTACCGAAGTTGCCAAGCGTGGGTCACTCTCACTCCGGGGCGTCTGCCTATCTCCTGTCTCTCTCTCCTATACAACTCCATCGAACTCTGGACATATTCATTTATCGGCATATGATGTCGGACGTCGCTCATTTCCCTTTTTCTTACAGATCATGATCCTCCAGATCTCCGCACCCGCGTTACACCCTTGTTACAGCTCTCCGGAGCCCCGTATCTCCCACAATGGGCGACGAGAAGTTTGACTATCAGGCTGTCCCCATCCCTTCTTACGCTGAAGCCACCGGCCAACCCTCCTCCTCTCGATCCGACCTCGGTGATGGAACAGACGTTGAACGACAGGGCTTACTCGGTCGCGATCATGCCTCCACCCGCGGCTACCACCCACCAACCGTGGAATCGGCGCGCTCCAGCCTCGATGACCTAGAATCATTGACTTCACACTCTGACCGAGAGTCGGTGGAAGAACTACGACGGGAAATAGATCAAATGGACGTGGATGATTCGGCATCGGCTCCCTTAACCGGCAGACACGCCCCTCTACGAGATCGTTTTTCCAAGCAGCTATCGAGTCTGAGTCGTACCCTGTCTGCTATACAACGACCTTTCCAACGATATATCCCCAGCTTCCGCTTCACGATAAACCTGAGTGACACGAGGGCACGCTTAAAAGATCAAGGGTGCATCATGCTTCTCCGAGTGTTCGCTCTTTTATTGGTGGTCACCCTAGTATATGTGTTCTTTATCGCAGATGTCTTCCATATCAACAGTCGTATGGCCATGGGTCAGTCCTATAGCGCCGCCTCTGTCGAGAATTTCATCCAAGGTCACATCAACGAGACCAATATCGCCGAAAACTTGCGACGAGTCACCAACTACACCCACGTAGCTGGCACGGAAGGCAGCTTTGCGCTATCAAAATTGATTGAACAAGAGTTCCAGAATGCAGGGTTCGATGAAGTGTCGCGGGAGGAATTCCAGGTCTACCTCAACTATCCACGCAAGGACGGGAGGAGAGTCGCAATCATCGATCCACCTAGTCTAGCTTGGGAGGCGAAACTCGAAGAGGACAATGCCAAGGACCTGGTCTTTCATGGTCATTCCAAATCTGGCAATGTCACTGGGCATCTGGTGTATGCTAACTTCGGATCCCGGGAAGATTTCAAGCTGCTCGCAGATACAGGAATCCCAATCGATGGCTCGATTGCCTTAGTCCGTTACTATGGGACTGAATCTGATCGCGCATTGAAAATTAAGGCCGCTGAATTAGCCGGGGCTGCCGGCTGTATCATCTACTCCGATCCCTCTCAGGACGGATTTCGCAAAGGCCCGGCCTTCCCCGAAGGGCGGTACATGCCAAGCGATGGCGTGCAAAGGGGGGGTGTTAGTATGATGTCGCAGGTAGTTGGCGATGTTCTCAGCCCTGGATGGGCATCCACGCCGGGAGAAAAGCATCGTCTATCTCCCGAGGAGAGCACTGGTCTACCTAAGATTCCCAGTCTCCCACTCGCTTGGCGCGATGCACAGATACTTCTACAGGGCCTCAAAGGCCATGGCTCCAAAGTGCCAAAGGAATGGGTGGGTGGTGTTCCAGACGTACAAGAGTGGTGGACTGGTGACCAGGGCTCCCCGGTCGTTCATCTGATGAACCTGCAAGATGAAGTAGAGCGGCAGCCTATCTACAACATACACGGCAGAATCACTGGAATGGACGAGCGTGATAAGAAGATTATTGTTGGAAACCACCGAGATTCGTGGTGCATAGGAAGTGTTGATCCTGGAAGTGGCACTGCTGCTTTCCTAGAGGTTGTACGAGCCTTTGGCGAGTTGCTCACCTACGGATGGCGGCCGCTTCGCACTATTGAATTTATCAGCTGGGACGGAGAGGAGTACAATCTGATTGGCTCAACAGAACATGTCGAAAAGGAAGTCGATGACCTCCGTGCGAATGCGTTTGCCTACCTGAATGTCGACGTGGGCGTTGCTGGGCCCGATTTCCGTGTTTCTGCGTCGCCCGTTTTTGAGCGCGCTGTGTTGCAGGTTCTGGGTCGTATCTCAGACCCCTATGCGAACGCGACACTGAAAGACCTTTGGGATAAAAAGGGCTCGAAGATCACCCCACTTGGCGCCGGAAGTGATTATGTTGCGTTCCAGGATATCGCTGGCACCTCGAGCATTGACTTCGGATTTGAGGGAGAGCCCTATCCATACCACAGCTGCTACGAAACATATGACTGGATGGTTAAATTTGCAGACCCCGATTTCCAATACCACAAAATCCTGGCTCAGTTCTGGGGACTTCTCCTCCTTGACCTCTCGGAGAACCCTATGCTGCCATTTGATTTGGAGGTCTACGGTGACTCCATTGGCGGATGGGTCAAAGATTTGGATAAATTTGCTAAATCAAAGAAGGCCGAGGTGGACATGCAACCCATGTTCAAGGCTGCGACCGAGATGAAAGCCAACGCTGTTACATTCCAGTCCTGGAATAAGATCTGGCACGATACCGTGTGGGGCATGGGTGGATATGAAAGCAACATCATGGCAGTCCAGCGGGTGAGCCATAATGCTCGAATGGCTGCCTTTGATACAAATCTACTTGACTTGGAAGAAGGCGGAGGTGTAAGTTGACGTTTTGCTTGAACCGTCCCTCAACCCTAGCTAACGACTTGTACAGATCCCCAACCGCACACAGTTCCGGCACGTCATCTTCGGTCCTGAGCTGTGGTCTGGCTACGACGCCTCGATCTTCCCTGCTATCCGCGACAGCATTAACACAGGGAATTGGACATTGACCCAATATTGGATTGACCGGGTCGCCAACACCATCCACCACGCCAGCGACAAGCTACTCCACTAATGTATTCTACCTTCCAGCCTTTTTCCTATTTGCCGTTCTTCTCAGCCATGCTTCATCCACGCCTATCGGATTGATTCTTTTGTCACGTTCTAAACGAGCACTGTACAGCCCGACACCTGCCGCTGGTTGTCGGGATACCTCTATACCTGAAATTTGGGAACTTTTTTCATGTCCATTATATATACCACGCATGTCCTGAGCTCATACGGGACTGAGCAGATTGTTCTTCTGTCGGTTCTATTGGTCGTGTCATCCCCGCTTTTCTTGAATGTATCTAGCTTCTCATCCTTGTCCCGAGGGACCGGCGTTTATATGGGGATATATCACATTTCGTATCTAGCTTTTAAGAGGCTTCCAAACCTGCCAGTCCACATGGTTAACTTGCTCACTCAAAGTGCTCCACCCTTAGGGTGGGTAGTACTTCATTTTTCTATAAATATTTTGCCATAATGTCTGTTTTATGGCCATTATTCTATCATGAGTCTGAATATATCAACCAACCATAAAATCTGTCAATTCGACATAATTCCTCTCTCGGCAGCCCTCATCCTGCCAGGACCTTCATTAGACCAATTTCCTTCCATGCATCCAGTCGGTGATGATTCCAGATATAAATTGATCCCATCATTCCGGCCGCATTTGCCTTGATACCGTGGAATTCTTTAGCCCGTCGAGGATTAACCATCATCCATCTCCTCGTTAAGACAAAGTTATGGTGACGAGGGTCGGATTTTGTCGGTAAGTCTAGCGCCTCTCTGGCTTGTTGCAACAGACGCTGGTAAATCTCCAGCAGATGTTTGCCATCCTTCACGCAGCCCTCGAGCAAGTCCTCGAATCTTTGTAGAAAATGCACAAATGTAGGCTCCGTTTTGAGTGCCGTATCATCGTCTGGAAATAACCTGAATCCTTCATCGTACCCTTCGCGCTTCCCCGGCGCCGGAACAACCTGTAACATAGGTATCATACAACATTACAATTCCATCAAACTAAACAGGAGGCAAAGAGGGCTCAATCGCCAACAAGGACGGATGATCGGCCAAACTCTGCCAAAACCCAGCCTCGAAATCCCACAAATCCTGACTCAACAGCGCCGCCCAGTCATCATTCCCCTCAACCCCAGCTAGTTCAGGCAGAGACTGTGCCGGGTCGGAATGAGTCGAGTCTAGAAAGCGCTGTATAGTCTGCGTAGCCTTAGAAAGCAACGCGTAATTCGGATCCCCTGGTTTAACAATCGTCCCGATCTGCACCTCCGCTACAAACACACTGAGATCTTGTAACGACCGTGTCCGGTGCGCTCGTGGCATGTGCTGTTTCAACATAGCCAAAAGCATTATCCCCGCAGCGGGGAGGCCGTAATACGCAACCTGATTAGCATCCAGATTAGTCGACTGGTTGAAGTTGGGGTTTTATAGACACAGTATGCTATAAAAACTTTTTGTACATACCTTCCAAATCAGACCCGTCCCGGAATTAGTGAGCTGATCCCGCAGCAAAATAATCTCCACAACGAGCGTGAGCATCTGACCCGCGGTCTTGATGATCGGCAGATCGGGCTCGGTCGGTGATTTAAGGAGTAAAAGACGGAGCAGGAATAGTACATGTAAGTGGTGCAGCCGTACACCAGCGACAAAGTCTCGCTCGAAGGGCCCTTGCGTACATTTCTTCAGACTGTTCTCGAGTCGGAAGTGGGCTGGTAGGTGTTGCCACTGCGTCTCTGCTTGGCATTGTATCACGCTATACCATTGCTTGATTAGCCATGGTTTCCATTGAGATATTGGGTGTCGACATATGTTTTTTAAATACCTTGCTCGTTGTGCACATGACGGATCATGCTTGTCCTGAAGAAGCTCCCATATCTCCTCCTTCAGCGATGCGCACAACGCAGACCACCGCGTATCAGCCCGGTACCCTGGTTCCGCATCTGGAGTCCAGTCTGCTGAGCCTTCTTCTGCGTTCGGGCAGGAAGGGATCTGGAAGTGGCAGAAGCGTTTGTTCATTCGTGGTGGGCGGCCGAGAAATATTGCTATGTTCTTGTCTGCAGAGTAGATGCGCGCGAAGGCTGTTTTGCGCAGTTCTTTCAGATATGGCGGGATTCCGGCTTTTATTTCGATGTTTTCGTGATAGCCTAGGGCAAATGTGGAAGATATGGCGTCGCCTAGTTTGCGCCAGGAATGATAGCCTTCGAGGGGTCAATATATGGCTAAGATGAGGTAGTAAGTGCGGATGGATGGCTGATAACTCACTCTGATCTCCATCCACGTAGGAATGGACGATAAAGTTCTCGTATTGCATGATCAGCTGTAGATCATTTAGGCAATCTAGAGATAGGGATATCTCCAATGCGTAGTCACAAAGTTTAGTGCATAGTCTTCGAAGTGTGTACTGCTCTTGCTCGGTGGTATATAGAGACGGAAAGAATGCGATGTCAATTGTTGCTCGACTGACAGCGGCAAAAAATATCCCTAATGTCTCCCAACGAGAATTGTGATCTAGAAATTGAGCCGAGAAACCAGCCAGGTCAGAGGTATCATTGAAGTGCAGTGGCTGGGCCGAATTCTGCAAGAGACGTCTTGCATAGACTAGATGCCAGTTGTCGTCATGATAAGTGAACAATTGGCTCACACTCTGAGCACATTGTTCAACAAAGGGCTCTGCTAAGGCCAGGTTAGCTCCTTTGGCTAGCCAGAACATGACGAGATCTTTCATGGCGGACAACTTGTATGTTGTCAAGAGGTGTTTGAGGATATCTGCGCCTTGTAGAACCAGATGATTGTCCCCAAATAAGTCCGAGTGCAGATCCTCCGGGACTGCTTGATGACTACCGGGACCATGGTCTCCATCCGGAGTGATGTGCTTGAATATAGCTGCATGGCTAGACGATCCTAGATACCCAGGGTTTGGGTATGGATTACGTCTTGGATTAAATGACGGCGATTCATCTGGTGAACCAAGGCTGCAAATATACAATTAGCTAATTCGAATGCAGTTCAGGCAAGTATGGAACTGACCTTTGCTTCTCGACTCTTTTCCGCTTAAATGGCGTAGTCCTGTAGATACAAATCCCCTTGCTAGCACTGCAACGCGTACAGACGGGCAGCTGATGATCGCATGCTAGTTTGGCCTTCCTGCAGGCCTCACAAGCAGCCAGACGCGACATGGCTGTTCTGGCGGAGTTTCGCCCGTGAGTGGAGACAAAAGAGTGAAGTCGGCTAACAACGGCGAGATCGGAGAGTCGGAGAATCGGCGTGTTAGGCGATAAGATGCGGGGATCCATCGATATCTATAAATACTGGTATTTCTTCTTCTCCAACTCGAATATCACATTCATCATGACTCAAGAAATAAAGCTTGCAGACTATCTGTTCACTCGGTTGCGCCAGCTGGGCGTCGACTCCATGTTCGGCGTCCCTGGTGACTACAACCTTCGCCTATTGGATTTCGTCACTCCTGCCGGCCTCCACTGGGTGGGCAACTGCAATGAACTCAATGCCGCCTATGCGGCAGACGGATATGGTCGAATTAAAGGCCTATCTGCACTGATCACTACCTACGGCGTTGGCGAGCTGTCTGCCATCAACGGTATTGCAGGCGCCTATGCCGAGAACACACCCGTGTTACACATCGTCGGGACTCCACCGCGCCCGCTTCAGAGCGCGCGCACGTTTATGCACCACACTTTCTCAGATGGCGACTATCGTCGCTTTGCAAACATGTCGAAGCATGTCACTGCGGCTCAAGTGAGGCTAGAAGATGCTACCACAGCGCCGGAAAGGATCGACTATGTGATACGCCAGGCGTTGATCCACAATCGTCCGGTCTACCTCGAATTCCCTGATGATATGCCCGACGTGCTGGTGTCGGCTACAAATTTGGAAATGAAGATCTGCATCCCCCAACCACCAAGCTCTGTGCAAGAGCCCCAGGTGCTGGCTCGCATCTTGGAGAGAGTGTACAGCGCCAAGCGTCCATTCATCTTCGTGGACGGAGAAAGCACAGGTCTCGGTATCGTTGATCAGCTCGATGCTCTGATCAAAGCAACCAACTGGCCCACATGGACAACCGTGTACGGTAAGGGCTTAGTCAACGAGCAGCTGCCAAATGTGTACGGACTGTACGCGGCAGCCTTTGGCGACAAGCCAGCGCAAGAGTACTTCGAGGAAGCAGATCTGGTCCTGACATTCGGACCGCACAACAGCGATACCAACACCTATTTCTACACATCAATCCCCAAGCCCGCAGTGGCAATTACCTTCTCGGGCAGCACCGTTCAAATCGAGAACGATACTTACCGCGACCTCTCCGCCCACAAAATTCTATCAACCCTACTCCAGAACCTCGACTCCACACGCCTGGTCAAGGCTACCGGACCCCCGAAACAAGAAATCACACTGGCCAACATCCAGAACACAGACCCAATCGCCCAAAACAACTTCTACCGCCTAGTAAACCCGCTCTTCCGCGAGGGCGACATAATCCTCACCGAGACAGGCACCGCCGCGCATGGCGGCCGGAACTTCAAACTGCCTGCGAAATCCCGCATCTTCGGCGCGGTGACCTGGCTGTCAATTGGATTCATGCTTCCAGCAACATTAGGTACAGCGCTAGCGCAGCGTGAGCACAATAAAGACACAGAGAGCAAGAGTCAGACGATCTTGTTCATCGGCGACGGAAGTCTGCAGATGACGGCGCAGGAGATCAGTGTGATGATTCGCGAGAAGCTAAACATTATAATTTTCATTATCAATAACGACGGGTACACCATTGAGCGGGTGATCCACGGACGCAAACAGGCGTACAACGATGTGCCGTTCTGGAGACATGCGCAGGCGCTGAACTATTTCGGGGCTGATGAAGAGCATGCGGCGAATAATACTTTCACAGCAAGGACTTGTGGCGAGTTGAAAGATGTGTTGGCTGATGAGCGGATACAGAATGGGTCTGGGGTAAGGCTTGTTGAGGTTTTCATGGGTAGGGAGGATGTACAGGGGGCTTTACTGTATTTACTGAACAAGCAGCTCGATCAGGAGGAGGCAGAGCAGCAGGAGCAGATCTAGAATGAGAAAGGAGAGATCGCTTGTTACATACACACAAATTATGATGGTAGTATTGATCAAGTACAACGATGCCTCACTATGATTATTATTGCGTGTCTCGCTCCTAGTACACGAAATGAGAAATCCTTGGAAGAACAAAATCAGGCTAAGTGAACGCCGATTCCCTATGCTCCAGATCCGCCATGCACACAGTATTATGAAATTAGAAGAAACAATGAAAAGGAATGACCCGAAACATCTCAAAACAGACATCTGCTTGAACATGTCGCTGGGAATCTATAATCGAGCTGGGTTGCCGAGAGGGATTTCTCTCATGCTGAATTGTGTTTATTTGCGGAAGCTTTCAACCCCCAGGGTTGGGGTTTCCACCATGCGATCAGTGGGGACGCCTTCGTCACGACGACGGGCGAAGAAGCTATCGCATTCGGAGACAATGTGTGCCCACTCCGCAAGGGCGCGGCCTGCATATTTGCTAGACACAAGATGGTCGTAAGAAGGTTGGGAAGGAAGTTCGGGTAAGGGGGAGTTCTTGGTTGTAGGTGTTCGCGGCCAGTTATCTGAGGTAGGCTGTGTGGGAGTATCTTGGTCGGCGGTGAGGGTGTTGGGTTCTTGTTCATCATTCTCAACGTCGGACTGGCCCGGATTCTCTGATGCTGTGTCATAATCCGATTTCTCGGGAGAACGCCGATGCTCGACGTGTAATTGGGATGCAACAGGGAGACAAGGAGTAAAAAGACGTTTGTTTTTGGTGGGCCATTGAGGGCGATCCATCCACTCCAAAGAGAATTTGAAAAAGAATGGCTGGTGGGGAGCTTTGGGGTGGATGATCTCGTCCATATTGCTGGTCGGAGTCGGTTCGTGCTCATCCATACACTTGCTATCAGCAGTCATTGTTGGGTCTGATGCGCCATTCTCGGAGTCATCAGAACTGCTGCTACTAACACCATCGCCGGAACGCGTGGTGGAAGAGCTACCAAACATAGCCTTAAGTATTCCCCACCGTTTTTTAGATGGTTGACTATCTGGGCCATTGGAGTCGGAAGATCCAGTGCGACGGTGTGATGTGAGTTGCTCCGAAGGAACAGGCGGAACGACTCGGTCGAAGCTGACGAAAAGATTGACAGGAGACATTTGGTTTTCGCATCGAATAATGATGATTCTTCGTCCTGGAGCGGGTGTACAGGGCGCAGAGGACAAAGGAGCTGTATTAGCTTCTTCGGCCTTCGATTGGAACCCGGTATAATACTCCCAGACTCGTAGGAGTCGATCTGAAAGAACTTCATAGACGTTGGAGTCAAGTGATGAGGGTTCAGTATTAAACCGCCCGACCCTCCAACACAACAAACGATGGAAATAGGCTCGCACCATGGGACTCCAGTGATTGAAGTAATGGTAGAAGACCGCCTCATGCAGCAAGAAATCCAGACAGATAGATGCTTTTCTTTCTTCTGTGGCAGTCCAGGTACCCCAGATGCAGAAGAGGAAAGAAAACACTCGCACCTCAGTGAGCGAATTGTGGCTCTGCATCATTTGGCGACAAACGCTGAGCCAAAAGCCCCAATCAAACAATTCTGTTTCAATCGACTGGGCGTACCGCGTGATGATTGGGATGACTTCCTCGAGTAAGTCACATAACAAAAAGCATGCGTTATGATCGAAGAGAGACGTCTTCTGCGCCGCAGCTTTGATTATGCCACAAAAGGATTCAGCAAACAGTAATCGAGCACGATTCGGTTCTACAGACGATTCAGACAGGAGGTCTCGGAGAAGGATGATCAAACGATTCTCTGCCATCGACCGATGAGTGTTGCTGCCACTTCGGAGATGTTGAGCGGAGGCAGAGGCATCCGGCGACTCGATAAAATCATCGAAGGTGATTGCAGCGGCTGTGTGCGGATTGTCGGACCCCTGTTGTGCCGATTGCTTGTAGATCGTGTCCTCCAGAACGAGCAGGAGTTGCGCATGAACCATCAACAACCCAGGTGCCAATATCCGTTTCCCCTTTTCAGTCCCCGGGGGCAAATACTCAGCATAAAGAATGTGGATGTATTTAACGAAGACAAAGAAGAGGTCCGTGTCACGCCCAGCCCATCGTCCGATCCACGGGCGGTTCCAATTAATAGAGGTAGTGTTCAAGGGTAGCTCGGGTTTCTGGCGTAGGTATCGCAACAGAGGTGCTTGTGAGTGAAACGCTAGGGGACGGAGAGCCGGTGGGAAGCACAGAGCGAGTTCTTGTGTGTATGCACGCATATTCCCAGTACGTAACCCGGCCGGGTCTAACAAGATACGCCGGAACATATTAGGAGGCGTGCTCCACAGGCGGACCAGGATCTCGGGCACCCCGGGACAGAAGAAAAAGGCATATGCGCAAACCTTGCCGCAAAAGGCGACCAGGCTAGCTGGTGCGTGTCTCATAGACATTCGTTCGACCACGAATGTCATTTGAGAGAGAAGATTTTGGATAAAGATGTTCCGGATGTTGTGATGGATCGATTCAACCAGGAAATCCGAACCCGAGGAGCCTGACCCATCCGATGATTCCGATACTGAAGTTGACGCATACTTCAAAGATTCCGTAGGCCCACTGCCATTCTGGGCCACGGGGAAGGGGATGCGCCATTCTGGTCGAGCCATGATCCCCACGACAGCTTCCAAAAACACTGGTCTGTCGGTTCCCGAGATCGACTGGTTATGCTTGCCATTAAGCATATCCAACATTCCAATCCACCATTTGTTGAGAATATTGACTCGACGATCCAGATCTTCTGGTCTGAGATTCTTGGATGATTCGTGGAGGTGATGGCGGCCGAGAAAAGGGAGGAGGGAGGTACGGATGACGTTGGCCTTCAGCGAGATAGATTTGGCTTGAAACCTGTTCTGATCAGTAATTTGAATGTGAATGGCTAAGGTGATTACACCTACTTTTGGAAATCCGCCTCCAGGCCACGAAAGATACCCCAAAGCTCGTCCTTTTTCCGTGTTTGATCGGTGCTGGAATTCGCATATGCCGCAGCAGTTTCTGCGGCTCCCTTGGGCATAGGTGGTAAGACTGGGGTCGAAACGGACAGTGATGCTGCGAATCTTTCGAATGAGGACCGGCGTCGTAGCGGATTGCTAGATGGACTGCTTGGAGAGCCGGGGCTATCTTCGGAGCCCTTGGCCACAACAGCCAGCATTGGTCGGCGCGGGCGTTTGTAGAGAATTGTTCGCCTGCGGGAGG